GCCTGTTTATCAAAGGATTGTTATTTAATCACTCATTTCCAAATGAAATCGTTAAAGGGGGGAGGGGAGGAGTTGCTTTTCTGTTTTCCTCACTTTCCTCTCGAATCTGTCAACAGTACTGTATTTTTGACAGAGCTTGACCACCACAACTGTCTCCCCAACAATCTTCTGACCCCTACCCGCGACGTGTTGCCCTATCTCCTCCTTACCTTTGCAATCGCTTTTGCGGATCAACTCCCTTGTCAATCTATTTTCAATTAGATGGGTCAAGATGTCGCGATTGGTTCGGCTCATTTTATAGATTTTTTTGTCAATCAGAGATCTAATAGATAAAGAACTTATCACCAGGGGACGTATGAAGCTAAAGAAAAAGAACCATAATTCCCATACACCCTTAAATCTTATATTGGAGCGGTTAACTGTTAGCAAAAAATCTACCAATTTGGTTGAGAAAATATTCTTCCACTTCACTTTCCCCTGCCAATTAATAAACAACGACGGCAAACAGTGAAGTTGAAACAACCGAACCACGATAAACTTACAGAGGCAGTAAGCAGTAGTAGAGATCGCTATCTAGCGCCTCCATCAACAATTTTAGGATAGCTCCAAAATCAAACTTCACTTGTTTTATAATTGTTAGACGAAATTTGCGTCTCGAATATTTCTCGAGAATGCTGAATCATGGGCATACTCTAGCCCTGTCGCTCAAATTCTATTAGCTAACATGTCGGCGAGTTCCCTTTCACCGGAAATTAAAGGCACAGGTCGCTATTATAACCTCACAGAAATTCTCTCCTTGAGTGAAGTTGCAGGATCCCTAATTGGAAGGATGGTGGTATTTGCAATTTGAAATGCGCTGTAAGGGGTGAATGCTTTCACTTGACCGCTGCGACCGCTGCCATTCTCATCAATCGCAGCACACGTGGCGTCTGCGCCCTCTCGCGTAGGAGGTGCTCTCTCGCGTTTCCCTCCCCTCACAGCGCTGTGTCTCTCTGTCGTACCACCGTAGACCTCACTAGGTTTCTAGGTTGCTAGGTTTTTGATGGCGCTTTTTTTCTACTTTTTTCTCCACGAACTTTCCCATGTTTCTTGCCCAGTTTGCAAACAAAATGACATGGCAACTCGATCACTACGCCTACCTAGTAATATTGTTGACTGATATAGTACATCTCACCATCAATCGCGAACATCACAACCCATATGTCCTGCATTTAGGCGGATAAGGTGGTCGAGGCACTGGTGGGGAAGAGGGAGGGGGGGGGGGGTAATAGATTGCTTTGTGGTAGGATCAGGTGTCCCTTGCTGGACGAAATGACGTAGAGAGACGAATTGTTTTTCATTCTCACTTACTAAATCGTATTAAATATCGAACGAATCAAAAATACAGGGTTATTTCAAAAGGGGCTGATCGCCTTGCCGGCAAAGCTGCATAACCCGATTTGACTCGTAGTTTGAACCATGCACACTCCAGACGAGAGATCTGAAAGAGGGGGTAAAGGGAGAAGGGGACTGGAGATGGGTTACTCACTATTTCAAACGATACTTTGCGTTTTTCAACGAAGTGAACAGCTTCTTCACCTATGGCCAAAAAAACATGCAAAAATTGAAGAAGTTATAATATTATTTATCATTTTAATCGATATCATAAATTTTTAGTTAGCCCTTGACAATCAGTCCTTTGCATTTTCTACCAAGCCAGTTCTTTTGGATATTATTCCGACTGTACTGTTTAGACAATATTATTGCGAAATATCATATTTCCTTTATTTATTTATTTATTTATTTATTTATTTATTTATTTATTTATTTATTTATTTATTTATTTATTTATTTATTTATTTATTTATTTATTTATTTATTTATTTATTTATTTATTTATTTATTTATTTATTTATTTATTTATTTATGCTATCATTCTGCGATAAAATGCTTTCAGATCGAATACGATTCCCAGATGGACCACCGAACGAACGCAGACTTCGTTGCCAGGAAGTGTGCATCCTACTCGACCAGGATCCGCTGGCACAGCCAACGGGCACTATTTTCACGATCCGGATCCTCTGTTAGAGGAGATTCTAAACGAGGACTATAGTGAAGAAATGGTACGTGAATAATTACTTTCTCCCAACAGAACTAGCAAATATGAATGGCCAGGAGTTCAATGATTGTGAAGTACGCCACGCATCCGACTTCAGCTCAGAATCGTAAACGAGTTTGAATGCGTAATGAGTCCATGCAATGAGTTGAAGATTCTGAAATTTTTCTCAGTGTTCGTTTTCATTCCTTCAAAAAGTCTCCAACTAGGTAGCAGGCTTCAAGTTCGCAGGCCTGTTTGTGGGTGTTTTTAAGAAGTCTAATCCTGAATCATCGCGTTCGTCGCCTTTGCTCCTTCCTTATTATTGGAATTTGGAACACATAATTTTGACATGAAAGTGACTGATATATGATTATGTGATGGAGCGGGGGTGGAGTACAAGCACAGAAAATATGATCGCTCTTTGTTTGTTCGCCTGTCGGCCCTAGTCATTCTTTTCTGTGAACATAACTTTCATCGAAATATTATGTCACGTAGTTGTATTCATCGATGATGTGCACTTATAACATCTCAAACTTTTCAGCTTTATTATGTTCAATGAAAAGTTCAATAGGCAAAACGCGACGATGCGATTCTGAATAGGGACTTACGGAAAAATTCACAAATAAAGTTAAAATGAAAAAGTTGCTCATAGACCGGACCTTCTAGGTTTTCCCCCAAATAGAAAGGCTTCTCGAAATTTGGACTCGTTTTCGACTGTAAAATATGTTTTTAGCCGCAAGTCGCTTTGCAAAAGTTCATCTGAGTTGTGGGTGAAACTCTTCCTCAGGAAGATTCGATCCCCACCCCCCCCCCCACTTTCGTTTTTTTTTATCAGAGAATGCAATC